CTGACTTCATCACCCATTCCACATCCAGGTTTGTTCAAGTTACATGTAAAACATGAAACCGTATCCTAGAAGTCATTTCTGGTCATACAATACTCCTAATAAACTTAGTGCTATTCCAAAGAAGAGTACTAATTCCACCCAAAAAGTGTTCCCTACAACTTGGCTTCTTTATCACTGGTTCTATGAGTGTGAAGAACACAACTGAAGGAGCTTCTTGCTGGAAAAACAAGAATGCTTAATGAGTCTGCTATTCTATTTCTGACAGGAGAAGAAAATTCACAGTCAAGATATGAAACCAAGTATCTTTGCTGATTTACCCCCAGCGTTCGCTTCTCAAATTTAGATTGCCTCAACCTAAACATTTAATTTTCACCTTCAAGAAGATCTACCTGTTATCACTTATGGAATTTTGACCCTCAAAATCCTTTCCCTTTTGGAATTCCTTCCCCTTCACAAAACTAAGCAAAAAAATAAATAAATAAAAATGAGTTGATCAAATGAAATATCACCAAAAACCTTAGAGACAAGATAGATTTATACAAAGGCAGCCTTTCCCAACAGCCTGTTCTTCAGATGTTGGTTTCTGAGTGCAATTCAAGATGCTGGCTGTCACCTATAAAGCCCTACATGGCATAGGGTCTAGATCAGTGTTTCTCAACCTTGGCAACTTTAAGATATGTGGATTTCAACTCCCAGAAATCCCCAGCCAGCATGGCTGGCTGGGGACTTCTGGGAGTTGAAGTCCACACATCTTAAAGTTGCTAAGGTTCAGAAACACTGGTCTAGATATTTGAGGGCTGCCTATCTCCCCTAATGTCTGCCCACTTCATTTGCTCCAACATAGCCCACTTGCTCTGGGACCCATCAACTCAACAATGCTACCTTATGGGACCCAGGAGATGGCCTTTTTTGTCATCACCCTTGCCCCCTGGAACAACCTCCCCCTGGAAACCTAGATCGCCCCATCTTGTCTGCCTTTTGGTGAACTTTTAAAATCTGGCTCTTTTCCCCAGGCCTGGGGCAGGTCCCCTTTTAGTAGTGGGCATAGTAAATAGTTTGGGGCTTTTTTTGTGTGTTGTTGCTTCCCTCCACACACCAGTTGTGTTTTATGCTATGTTGTGTACTGATTTTGGTATATTACTGTGTTTTAATTTTATGAAGCCACCCAGAGCGGTTCTGGAGATGGGTGGCTTAGACATTTGACGAACAGAAAAACAAATGTAAGAACTGCAACGTCTATCTTCACAGCCCCCAAGTCCATGGGGTGCACTAGCTGGGAATTATGGGATTTGAGATCTGAGAGCAAGAGGATAGGAAAGGGTCATCTTTAAGCACATAGAAAGCCTTATTCTAGCTATCATTTGGTAGGCCTCGCAATACTTTTGTTCCCGACACTGCTTTTTATAGAACAGGGTAACACACTGGTAATTCAACAAATTCCAGAAATGGCATTAATGCACACTTGTTTCTTGTGTTTTCTTTTAACCTGAGACTATCTGGGCACAATTCCTGAGGCAGCTCATCGCAAAGGCCACGGAGGGGCCAAGGAACAGCCGTTTGCCACAACTTGTCGCAGCCACAGGAAGTGCCTCCTACAGAGATCCAGCCCTGTTCCAAGACCAGCCCAACTTGGCAAACTGCTGGAGGATTCCAGCTGTTTCAACTGTTTATCCAAGGAGGGCAGAGGGAATAGGGAGCCTTTGCTGTCCAAACAGGAATTGCAAACATTTCCTCTCCTGCGGTCATCCTTCCCGAATCAGAAAATCTGCTCTCCATTTTACACGTGATGGGTGAGAAGCCTTGCAGAACCACCATCTTCTTGAGGTTGAGGACCCGGGACAAGTGGACTTCCCGATGCAAGGAATTCTGAAGGATTTCCTAATCCTAATTTGAAGGATTAGCCAATCTCAAAGCAAGCTCTTCTTCACATAAGAAGCAACCTGATCCCCTGAGAGAATCCAGGGCCACCTATGGGGGGGCGGGATTAGTGCCACCCCTGGAAATGTAAATGCGGCTGCAAGCTATCCTTCTCCAACCTGGCACCCTCCAGAAGTTGGTCCTTCAATTCCCAGAATTCCTGAGCCACCGCGACCACTGCTGAGAATTCTGGGAGTTGAAGTCCACACCTTGGGAGGGTACCCAGGCTGCTTACATTCATGCAGCTGAGAGACCATCCTCCTAACACACTTAGCCTTGGAGAAGCCCCCTTGATTTACCGCCTAACTTCCGTCACAGTCCCGTCTGATGACCCTTCACCGATATTATCTAACAAGCAGCTACTTCCTAGCAACTCAAGCAAAATAAATTGTGACCACACCAGTCTGAAAAATCCAGCTACACCCTCGAGCAAGATCCCAGAGGGGTCAGTCAGCTGCTGTAAAAACAGCCTCCTTTCACAAAAACAGTTGGAAAGAAATGTTTTCAAACCTGATTTTTAAAATAGTTCCAGGCTATCTAAAAAGCATGTTCCAGGCTAACAGATTCACAGCTGAATCTGCTGTTCTTTACATTCCAGCCCCGTTCAGCTGATGCGATGAATTTCAGTCCATGAAATCTGGGGTCACCATATAAACCTGCAGGCTTATCTGCAAAGCGTAACAGGACGACAATTATTGCTCTCGAGTGTCTACATTTAAATTCTACCAGCATACTGCAGAGAAGAACTCTGCATATCAATGACACAGTCCCCAACGGCTAGATGATTAACTGTTGACAGGAAGTGCATATATACGCATGCCTTAGCTGATCTTGGAAAAGCTAATAGGGTCCAGACGGCTAGAAATGGGATGGGAGGCCACCAGGAAATCCTAGGGATATAGCCTACATTGGGAAGATGAAAAAAACTGGAAGGAAAACCATTTCCTTTCTGTTGCCAAGAAAACTACAAAAACTGGAAGCTGAACACAGCTCAAGGGAGACCTGATATTTGTATACAAACAGTTGCTGCTTTCCAAGTTTCTGTTTCTAACTTTCAGTTCATACAACATGCTAAGCTAAAACAGTGCTGAGTAGTTTGAGGGTCAGCCACCGCCTCAGTGCTTTGTGTGAACAGGCCCACTGTTTTCAGACAGTACATGGCTGGAGCATGGCAATGCCATGTAACCTTACCGCTGCATTTTGTTAACTGAAGTTTAGTGTGCCGAGGGAACATTTTCATTTCCCTCCCTGTGTTCTATCCTTTCAAATGGCTAGAGATGGCCACACAGTACAAGAAAACTGACATTCGCTCATTTTTACTCTAGCGCCTAGTTTAGGGGAAGAAAATCAACTTGTCTCACCTGCAACTGTCACTCGACTGAGCGAACAGGTCAGTGTAACAAGAGTCACCTAAATCAGTGTTTTTCAACTTTGGCAACTTTAAGATGTATGGGATCAAACTCCCAAAAAAATACCACCGGCGGCGGGGGGATTGGGGTGGGGTTGTACTTACAAATTTCATAAAAGACTAAGAAAAAAAAAACAGCACG